CCCCGCCGCCCCCCGTTAACAAAGGCCCCGTGCCGGGAACGGAGGGTCCGTAGCGATCACATTCCCGTCGAGCCACCCCAAGGGGGTTGGTGGTGCTAGTGGCGGTGGTGAAAAATGCACCGGTCCTTGCGGGGAGGTGTCCCCAGGGTGAGGATGGGCGGCTGCCCCCGAGGAGACGGGGAGGGACCCCCGGGTGATAGCTGGTCAGGGGCTGTTCTCGCCGGGCTCGCTGCCACTCCGGAAGATGGTATGCGCTGCTTTCAATGATGGTATGCCCTGGTAACAAAGGGCACGTAGCCGCCCACACCGGCTGCAGGCTGTGCCCCCTTGAATGGAGTAGTATCCAGTATCCGAAGGGACCTACAGGGAAGCCGGAGAGGGACTCTTCGTCAGGAGCTGTAGTGATGGCACAAGGAGTAATGGGTACAACTTGAAAGGAGGGAAATTTAGGATGGATATTAGGGAGAAGCTCTTTACTGTGAGGGTGATGAGGCACTGCAACACGTTGCCCAGGGAGGCTGTGGATGCCCCAGCCGTGGCAGTGTTCCAAGCCAGGCTGGATAAGGCCTTAAGCAACCTGCTTTAGCGGGAGGCATCCGTGCACGTGGCACGGGGGTTGGAACTGGATAATCTTTAAGGTCCATTCCAACCCCTTAACATTCCATGACTCTATGGCTGCAAGGGCAAATGGGGTGCAGGGATGCTGGGGTCACCTGGAGGGAGCAGTGGGTCTCCAGGCATTGCCCATTCCCCCTGAAATGGGTACTGGTACATTCTCCCTGGCTGGGAGCTCTCCCTCCTCCAGACTGGGACCCTCCTCTGGGGTGGGTTTATCCAGGCGTGCTCTGGACGGGGCCCCCGGCCGGGCGCTGCCCCGGCAGGCCACGGGCGGCAGCGTGAGCACCATCTTAATGAGGCACTGCGGCAGTGCTGCCGCTACCCGCGGGACGTGACGGCGGAAATCCTGCTCGTCTGCCGTCTCGACCCGCCTTCCCCGGCTGCCTGCGAGGAGGAAGCGCTCCTGGCATGGCCGCTGCCCGGCTCCCCACCCCCCACCCCCCCCCAAGCTGGGCTCCCTCCGCCTCCATCCTCCGGCTCTGTGCGGGGCAAGTGCGGCGGGACAAACCCACCTTAGGTACAACGCCCAGAGCATGCACAAATCCCAAATCTCCCATCCCGGACGAAGTTGTGGGAACAGTGGGGATGCAAATCTGGATTGACAGAGCGGGTGGGGGCGGTGGGAGCTGGAATGTCCCTGTGGCTACTCGGTTGAACAGGGCTTTGAGGATAAAAGGGGGGGGGGGGTGGGCAGGCTGGGGGAACCACGCAGGTACAGGGTGGGGGACAAGAGAGGGGTCATGCAGCTCAAACGTAACCCTACTCTCCTTATACCACTGCTATTCCCGGCGCTGCTGAGGGGCTGGTGGCTAAGTTTAGACCCAGCTGAGGTTACAACCTTTTCTTAAAGGCCAGGACATGGTGATGGCTCGCGGGGCACAGCAGCAGGGCTACGAACTTGTGCCGGGGTCGGTGGTGCCCCAGGCGCAGCCCGCCGAGGGAGGCTCTCGGGGGAAGCTTCAGCGCAAACAGGAGGCCTCAGTGTTTGCTCTAGCGGGGGCAGAGTGCGGCCGGGGTGAGCTAGGGCGGCCCTTGTGCCCCGCGCCCCGTCGATACCTCCTCACCCGTGTCCGCCCCCCCGGCCGCACCGCGCCGCAGCCGCGCGTGCCGCACGCCCCACGCGGAATGGCGGCGGCAGGGCCCGGCACGGCCCCGCGCGTGGGGCCGGGGGCGCCGGGCGGGCCCTGCCAGCGCCTCCCCCCCGGTCCCCGGCCGGGGGCAGCCACCGCCGAGCGCGGACGCGGCAAATTAGTACAGCTTTTTTAATGAGCGAGTCCTCAGGCACGGGGAGCGGGGAGGGGGCTGCCGGCGGAGCCGGGCAGCTCCTGCTCGTACTGCCGCGCCGCTTCCTCGCTGCCGCAGCCTCCCTTTTTCGGGCCGGGAGCTTCAGGGCTTCGCGCAGCCGTGCGCCGTGCTGGTTCCCGAGCCGGTGCTGGTTCCCGAGGCTGGCAGCCCTCCGGCTGCGGAGAAGCGGGCCTGGTGAGCCGCCCAGCGGTGTCCCGCCCGCCTGCTCTCGCCCCGGCCGGCGCCAGCGCCGCGCCGGCAGCACGGGGCGGCCCCGGTCCCGGCCTTTGCCCCGGCGGCTGGCAGGTGGTGGCCCCACAGCCTGCCCCGCTGCCCCATCCCCTCGCTGTCTGTGCGCTCAACTCTGCCCTGAACTTCTTCCCTGCCCGCTTGCTCGAGCCCACACTCTTGGCCCTCTCACCTCGGAGGCCCTCCAAAGCTAACACCCCAAACCACTGAAGGTCCCGATTCGGTCCAGTTTCAGCCCGAAGCAACCCCTGGGCATGGCCTTCCAGGCCCAATCTCCAGGCAGTGCCCACTTGCGACTGGCGAGGTTCTTGCGCCAGAGGGATGGACGGGCAGCTCTAGCCCCAGATGGGAGGAAGGGGAGAGTGGGGGAGAGCAGCTGAGGCCCAAAGCTGGATCCCTCCTTCGTGTCCTCTTCTGTCAGCGTGGACTCGGACTCCAGGGGCAGCAATCGTGAAAGGAGCATCTGGGATAAATGGAGGAGAGTGGGGTGATGCCTGTGCTTCCAGTGATAAGCCTTGTACCCCCTGGTACCTCAGTTCCCATACCTCCTTGAGGGCTCGGGCGGGACATTAAAGTGATGCCTGCTTACAGCACTGTGCCTGTGACATTGCATCCAGACACAGGGAAGGGCTTGACCAGCAGCTCTCACTGTCTGAAGTGACTTTGCTGTCCAAAACAGCAGGCAGACAGCTGCTGTGAGCTCTGCCTGCGGGCAGATTGCCCTGCTCTTGTACAACCATACACACATCCTGCCTAGCCCCAGATTTGGAAGGTAACTGTCTTCAGTCCTTGCTCCTTTTGTGGATGCTGAGCATATCTGTGTGCTCAGGCTGCTATGTACCATTTAATTTTTCCAGATGGCTGCTGGGAAGGATGGTCCTGCCTCAAAGACCTGCTGATAAAATGGGGGAGAGGCAGGAGCAGAGCAGGTGTGAGGAAGGGGGAATCCCCATCAGCTGGAAATCCTCTAGGTTAGCTGTGCTGACTGTAAACCCCCAGCACTGCTAGGAGATAAGGGTTAGGGGATGTGTTGGGTGCAGTGGAGGCATGGCATTGCTGCCCAGAGAAGCTGCCTGCGGGAGCCGTTCCACATCTGTCTCTCACATGGATGCTGAGCTAAGGCTGAGGATGCCTTTGTGCAGCTCTGTGTGGTAGCAAGTTAACTGAAGCGGACGCAGGCATCCTCAGTGAGGAGTGAAAGTGGTGAGTCATAGCAGGATCAGTCTTGTGATTTTAGTTCATGTCCTGACTATTTCCCTGTGGCTTTCCCAGGGTGATGTAAAGGCAACCTGGGGCTCAGGTTAGGGTTTGGGTAAGAGCGAGCTGGCTAGATTTGAAAGCCAAAAATACTATTGCTGTAATTGCTGAGGATAAAAGATTTACTCAAGTGAAGAAGCCCTTAGCTGGCATCCTGACACAGCTCTTGGCCTTAAAGAGGGTCTTTAAGGGGGATAGTACTGAGCTTAGGAGCAAAACTCCTGGCCTAACAGGATGCATCTTTCCTCTGAAACATCTGAACTAGGCACTGAACATAAGAGACATGACTGTAATTATCTGGTGGCTGCTGACACAGAGTAGGCTTAGAAAACTTCACTGTTAAAAGCTTTTGCAGAGCACTAAAAGCTTTTGTCTGTTTCCTATCTTGAAATGCTGGTGCTCCTTAGGGGCTGGCTTATAAAGCTAAAGTCACCCTAAAGCTGAGGCTGCTGAAGGGGAGAGTGCAACAAGAGTAGACAGCAGCCTCTTTGTAGTTGGAATTTGGGACCACCTCTCATTTGAGGTTCAAACACAACCTCCCCTCCTCCTCCCCTCCTGAAATCAACCTCAGGTCTCTCCCACTCCCTCCTACCTGTAGCCTCTGTCCTGGTAAGGACACAGTCTGAACGCTGGCAGAGAGCAGAACCAAGAAGAGGAAAAATGAGCAAGGCCACGACCGAAGCCCCAGCATCTTCTTAGCCCAGGGCTGGTGGGAGGCAAGACAGGACTCACAGCATCCGTGTTGGATGTGGTCCCTAGCCCCTCTCTGCCTTTATAGCTTTGGTTCTGGCAGGCAACTGCCCCAGCTCCCTGCTGAACCACCCCCTGGAGCTCCTTAACCTTTCAGCCCTTTTGTCCAGGGAAATATATTTCAGGGTGAGCTCAGCAAGACCCCTTCCTCTAAAGAAAAGGGACACAAAGGTGTTTACTGAGTGTCTGGGAAGACAAATGTGAGTTGAGCTGCTGCTGGCCAGGACCTGGAGGTGTCTGTCAGGGTCAGGGATGGGGTGACACTTTGAAACATTTCCCCAAAGGAGGATATTGAAGGCTGCATTGTGTAGGAGTATTGAACATACTCCTCATAGGCAGAGTGCTGTTAATGCTATTTCTCTAATCGGTGTGAGCATGAACTGCAGCTCAGCTAGAGGTAGGCACACTGCTGGCTGCACCAAACAGACACAAATTCACCTCGACTGAAAACACAGGCTTTTGTTTTTAATATTTAGATCTTGGTGAGACAGTTGGGCTGGGAATGAAGAGCTCCTGCTGCAGAAGGTGGGTGAATTCCAGTGCTATACAGAATTTGTAGCAGTGACAGGAGCGTGGGTCTAGTACTATTTGGCATATAATTTGCGGTCTGTCTGTCCCAAGTCACCATCTGGAGGACTGAGCTGAGTTTCCAGAGGAACCGTCACAGAAAAGAGCTTGTCAAGACTCAGCTTGCACTTTCTCAAACTCAGGCACACAATGGGAGCAGGATAGCAAGGAGCAGATTCCTACCTCCTAAATCTTCGGGCCATTTGTTCCCCCCACTTTGTTTACCTCTTCCATTTTACTGTAGTTTCTCACCAGCTGAACAAGGCAATGAGGTCACTGTTTGGAGATCAGGGTGCAGAAGTCAGCCTGGGTGTGAAGACAGAAACTAATGAGCAAAGTTTGTCAGGGGAGAGGAAAGGGGGGACTGTACCCCAGTACAGGATTAGCAGTGGGTGTGCTGGGAGAGTTTAACAACACCCCAAACTTCCCTTTGTTCAGTACTGTTGCACAAAACAGTTGGGTCAGAACTTGACAGAACATGTTCTGCTGCCTGCTTTTGTTTATTTTTTTCAAAGAAAGAAGAAAAAACTCTTCTCCAGAGAAAACAAAAGTCACAGATCAGATATTTGCTCTGTCTCTCCCTCCTTCCCTCCCTCCCTTTCTTCCTTCCAGGCATTTTGCACTTGCAGATGCAGGTTTGTGGGTCCATTTCTTCTCTGCCCAAGGAGACAGAAATTTTTATGAACCTTTTGCATCCAGTTCATGAGAAGCAAGTATGGGCCTTCAGTCTGGAGTGCTGATGCCAGAAGCAGTGCTTTGCACAGCTGTGGACATCCAGTTTTGCTAGCTCCAGCTGATGGCTGCAACCCACGGCTGGTGCTGTGTCCAGAGCAATGTGATGCTCTAGTGATCCTGTCTGGCATTCCTGTCACCCTGTCATCTGGGCCAGCACATGGAGGGCCTCCCAAGGCCCCCTTGAGACATTTTGTGGGAAACAGGATTACTTTCATACCAACCTTTGAATCTACAAAGCACAGGGGACTGCTGGACAGTCATGGGACACGCACCCCACATGGGCATTCAGATGGGGTGCCTGGAACAAACGAGGTACGGGATGTGTGCGCATATCCCACATCAGCCAGCCCCTCCTTGTGCTGGATGCAGTAGTGTAAGGGGCGGTGTGGTGTGAAAGTTTCAGAGGGATGGAAAAGAGAAGAAGGACAGGAGGTAAGCACATGCTCATGCTGCGTGCAAGGTGTCCCAGAGGATGCTGTTCTGTACTTCCCAGTCACATGTGGCCATCCAGAAAGAGCTGAGTCAGTGTGCTCGAGCGCTCCTGCTGCCGGCAGGAGCAGCTCTGCTGGAACAGCACCGGTGACATGAGTCAGTCAGTCCTTTCCTGAGTGAAAGGTAAGTGCAAAAGCAATGCGCTTTGGTTTTGATATGAAATGTAGCAGCAGTTTGATCTTGCATCACTTGAATGGGGTGGCCCCCATACTGCAAGAAGAATGCCAGAGATGTGTTTGCAACTGCTCCAAAATTCCAGTCCACTTGCACAAAGACTGAGCCCTGAAGGGGCGGACAGGCTTTGAGATCTCAAATGACAAGTGCCCTCCTTGGGTTCAGCAAGAGCTGGGGCTGGCAAGAGGGAAAGAGCCATCACTGTCCCATATTAAGCAAGAAACTTCAGACACTGCAGAAAAATTGCAAATTTTCTTGTAGATTCTTGTAAGTTCTTGAAAATCCAGCAACGCCTGGATAAAATGCAGGTGCTCAGTAACTCAGGTGCCGTGATATTGCAGCTGCTCCGTGTCCCAGATCCTTGCTGGGACTGCAGTAGAACTGAATAGTTACTCTGACATGTCCTGGCAGTGACTGTGAAGTGAAAAGGCTTTGGCAGACAAGTCCTCGATTGCCCCAGTTTTCTCAGACTCAAATAGGTTATTGTCCTTCTTTCCTCTCTGATGCTAACAAGTTTCCCTTATAAAAACCCTTCTCCCTTGGATGCTGGGGCACTGACTCTAGAGCTTGCAAGACCAGAAAAGTGGTCTGCTGCTGAATCACAGTCAGCCTTCTACAAACAGTTGCTTATATAGGAAAGGAGCAGGGTAACTGGAGACTGGGAGATCTGGGAACCGAGCAAAGTACTGAGGGAACACCCCTTGGCCCAGGGTGATAGAAAGGGATGATAGTTGCTGCAAGCTCTAGAAGTGTACAATATTCATATTATTCCACCATTTGTAGGATTTCAGAGCAACCATGATCAGGAGTCCCTAGAGAATGGAAACACTATTGATCCTGACACTGAGGAGTCCCGCTGCCTCAGAATACAAGGGAGTGGGATTACTCCAGCAGTGATTTATGGTCATTGTGGCAGCCACCAAAATATATGTTTGTGAAGAACAGTAGGGCAGCAGTTATCTACTTAAGGCTGTAGCCACTGTATAGCTGCCCAAACCCCTCTTGGATTTTACCTCATCTTTCTTCAGGACTTCCTTTGTCCGTAACACAGGACTCCTAATTCTTCCTGTATCAGGAGAGGACAGTGAGAAGTAGAGGATGCTCCACCTGAACAACCTGCAGAAGAGGACCAACCAGAGCTTTCACTCACTGACTTTTCACTCCCACTTTCCCAGGCAGCATAGTGCCTGGGACTGAGCAAAGGACAGACTGCAGAACAGTGAAGGAGCCAGCATGACAGTCCAGTCACTGATTGCCAAACCCTCCTTCCAGGAAGGTGACTGTGTGGATCTCCTGAAGTAAAAAGTTCAACCATTTGTAGTGGAAAAGTATGGCCTGAAGGTGAGCCAATACTTAAGAGTTTTATGGCCACCTCACTTCCTCTATCTACTCATTCATATGTCCCCTACTGCAGCTTGGCAACATCTCACATCTACACAAGACTTACTGCTTGTAAAACCTTGAGCTTGGGCAGACATCCATACATCCATATATGCTGTCCTTTATTTATTCCTGTATGAGTGTCATACCCTGTGGGTGGTGAGGGAATCACGTATGGTGTGCATGACTCTGTGCTGTATTTACTGTCAATGCTGTAGCTGCTACCTTTGCCTCCTGGAGCCTTCACTGAATATTTTATCAGGAAGGAGGAATATTGCTGTAGCTTTCTGATCTTTGTATTTCACATGATTGTCCTGTGGCTACTGGCATGCTCTGGAGTTGGAGCATATCTGTATTGGTATTTGGCTATTAGGCTGGTGGTAAGTGGGCAGGTATTTTCACTGAGGCATGGGACTCAAGGGGGTGTTTATAAATACACCTGTCACCCCATCATTTCCCTCCCTACTTGTTTCTGGAAGCATTTAACATGATTATGTCCATTCAGGTATCAGCATGAAAAAACATATGCTCAGGTTAGCACAAAGCTATGCACTTCCTAATGATTTGGCTTTTTTAATAGGGATCAAAATAAGCTACAGCAGCTACTTCTGCAGCCAGAGCAGAAGGGAACTGAGCAGCATGTTCTACTTGCTGGGTGTACCCAGGCTGACCATAACTGTGGGAAGGTTGTCTCAAAGACAGAGATTACAGATCTGCAGAAGGACTGGAAAGGAGGACCACCCTTCCCATTCCTGCCCAGCTAGTGACTAGTCTGTTTTCTAGGCAGCTGACAAGGTAAGAGGAAATAATTCTGTAGTAAGAGCTCTGGGACAAATGCCAACTTGCCTCTAGACAGAAGGTTAAAGGTTATTTATGTGATTAACACAAAATCTTATTTGGGGTACTTCATGTTCACAGGGCAGTTTAAGGAGTGCTGGGACTGACTTGAAAACTGATGTGGCATTTGTGAAAGGAAAAAAATCTAAGTGCCAATTTTACTTGAAACATAATTGGATTTGCAGCAAATACATTCCAGAGAGCAGTAAGACAATCAAGGCTATCAGTATACTCAGTAACGTATCAAATTAGCATTATTACAAGTTACTTCTTAAGTTTTAGTGTTGGATTTGTTTTGCTTTTTTAGCTTTTAAAAGATTTTTTTTCCTATGGACCTTCCTATTGATTATTGAAGTGCTCTAGTCTAAGTTAGCCTCTCTCTCTTCTCCTAACACCCCACTCCTTGAACACTTCTTCGATAAGATATGCACAAGAAAAAGATCCAGGTACCTTCCCCTCAAAACCCTGCTTGGCTTTACAGGACAAGAGCATCAAAAAGGATGAAATATAAAAGGGCCTAAACCCAGTACAACTGCATTGGTCCCGTGTTAAAAGCTGAATAGTGTAGTATAAAGCACATATAAAATGAGAAAGGAATGAGCGTTTTGTACTCTGTGGGTAGTTCGTGGTCTTCTTAAGAAAAACTTTCTTCCAAAGATTTTTCTTTTTTTTTTAAATTTTAATAAGAGCAGCTTATTCTCATCTGCAAAGCCAGGGCAAAATCAGTCCAAGTGGCAACTATGTTCATCATCACTG